GATCTTTATTTTGTTGTACATTATGTAATGTAATTATATAATAATGTTTCTGATGTGGGAATTGACTAGCCAGCCATAAGCAGATTTGCACTAAATCAAAAGTCTCAGCTTTGTTTTGGTGTTTAACCAGCTACAAAACTTGTGTTACTTTGTAGACTCTACTACTATGTATGTTATGTAATAAATTTGTTTTGTAGCCTGTTACTCCCAGGATATTAGAGATGAGGTAATATCTTTTGTTGGACCAACATCTGTTGGTGAGTCAGGCAAGCTTTCAAGTGTACAAAAACTCTTTGGGGAATCATTCTTAACACAAATATGTACCAATACTTTCAGAACTTCAGACTTCCTGTCTTCACCTCCATGTAGAGTCTTTTGTACCACAAATTCATTTGCGAGTGCTCTGTCCCACAATGGAAATTGGTCTGCTTCATGTGGGGTAGCCCATGTTTGTCAGGAGACAAGAGAGCATAGTATTTGTCATGACCATGAGGGTTAGCCAGCAACCTGGGGACCAGGGCTGGCCTTAAGCCGATTCGGCTATATCAGGCCCCGCACCTCAGGGGGCCCCGCACCCTACACCCGGAAATCAGCTCCCTCGGCTCAGCTGGCTGGGCTCCCCGCCCTTACCTGCACACGCTGCCGGCTGCTGCCACTGCCATGCAGGTGGGTGGGGAGACACCCGGGCGTGATGTGATGTCACGCCCGGGATTTTGAAACTGAAAAGGCGGAGGCGGTGGCACATGCGGTATGGCGTCCGGCCCAGCAGAACATTGGGGAGGGGAAAAACTAGGGGAAGGAGTGGGAGAAGAAAAGGCTTGTGCAGAGGGGGAAGAAAGAAGAAGGTACCAAGAGACAGGGGTGCAGGAAAGACAAATATCAGGGGGCCAAGTGCACAGGGGCATGAGGGGAATGGGGGCAGAGAGTGGTGAGGGGATGGTCATCAGGGAAAAAGAAGGCAGGGGCAGTGAGGGAGAAGGGAAGGTGCAGGTGCATGGGATTCTGGGGGTGAAGCAGAAGGGCAGACACCTGCAGGGGAGGGACCAGCAGCAGAGGAGAGAGGTGAGGGAGGTGTTAGGAGAGGGGATGAGGAGGGGTAGCTCACATGATCAGAGTGGAGCTACTGAAGGAGTGGGCACAGGGGAGAGAGAAGGGCTGGTGGAGGGGGGTCGCAGGAGAGCTGAGGGCAGTGAGAAGGGCAGGAGTCAGGACAACAGAGGAGGGTGAGAAGTTTGGGGGCAGCAGGTCCCAGAGATGATGGAGCAAGGAGAGGAGACATGGCAGCAGAGAGAAAAGGGAAAGTTTTATAAAATATTTATTAATAACTTGGTATGCTGCCCACAACCAGTTTGTTTGCGCCCCACGGTACAGTTTGGGTTTATATGGGGATCAACACGTGGCTGGTGAGTGGGAGCCAAAACAAAAAAATAGTCAGTATAATGATCTTCTGTTAATATGTTTTAGTAGTTACATTCTTGGACTGTCATTGCTCATGAAAAATGCTGTCACATGGGTAGAAATCGGGTAAATATTGCATTTTATTAATATCAGCAGAGCTGACTTAAATGGGGCCTATGTATTGTGTAGTCTTCTCTTAATCTTTGTATTCATGCCTGTAACTGTGAGAGAAGCTATTTGTATATATTTGCTTGCATATGCAAACACACTTAAGTTGAAGCCCTCAGCATGTTCTGTAAGTATCAGTGTGGCCCCTGGGGCTTCCAAAGTTGAGTTGCCCTAGCTCATCCCTGACAGGTGTCTGTCTAACCTGCTCTTAAATATCTGCAATTTAAGCCCATTTGCTTCTCATCCTAACCTCAGAGGCCAACCATAACAATTTTTCTTCCTTCTCCTTATGATACTCTTTTAGATACTTGAAAGCTGCTCTCATGTCCCTTTTTGTTCTTATCTTTTCCAAGGTAAACAAGGCCAATTTCTTCAGCCTTGCCTCACATCTCATGTTCTCTAGACCTTTCATCATTTGTGTTGATCTTCTCTGGACTTTCTCCAGTTTCTCCATGTTTCCTGAAATGTGGCACCCAGAACTGGACAT